CGGCCAATGCAAATATTTAGTGGCAGCTCTTTTACATTACCAACCATATTTCAAAACAGCAGCCAACCTTCCAGACACACACTGCTTTGTTTTTTTCACTACTTGCTGAGACTTGAAACATGCTTGAGAACGCTAATCCATACAGTGAAAACATGTCTGCATTAACGGGTTTTCCTCAAAGTTAGTCATCATTGCTTGGTAAGGCCGTGGTAACAACAACATGCTGTTCACTTTGAGGATTATCTGTTTCAAGTCTCTGCAGTTTGATGTTCACACAGCAGTGGCACTAAAGGCTGACTGCACGGTAGGAAAAAACTTCACAGTGACTTAAAAAAAAAAGGATTTCTATTAAATGGACTTAAACATCAGCATGGTTCTTTACCTTCAGCAATGACACTCGTTAAGTCACAGTGGTTGTTGTGGATGGAGCTGAACAAGCCTCTGCACTGGCCACAACTGTGTACAACTTTCTCCCAAACTGGATTTAACTTGGTGTCTGGAAACAAAACACCATTCTGACTGGAAAGGCACAGACATGCACAGTTACAACAGTGAAGTTTGCACAATGTCAAATGAAATCTAAAGCATTAAACCCACAAGCTTCACCTTCAGAACAGTGCAGCCCTTGACCATAGCCATACACCCTGTTCATTGAATGCCTCTTTCTCCTTCAGCCCCTCAGCATCAAGAGCAATATAAATGTCAGTGGAAAAAAAAAAAAAAAAAACATAGGTGGTACTTTATGTACCTGATGGAAGTGCTCTTTTTTTGTTATTTTATCCCTTTGAGTGATTAAAAAGATGGACACACGGACACTTTCTTCATCCAAGTCCCCAGAGCAGCAGCCGCGCTGTAAAGAATTAACCACTGCTGGTTAATGTGAAGGAGCTCCTGATCACTTGAGGGGAAATCCTGAGAATAATGGACTCAGTTCATTTCCCTTCTCCTGTGAGAATTAATGGAATCTTTCATCTAGAATTTCTCTCCTTGTGTGTCTGTACCTCTAAATATGCAAACTCTTCATCTAATAAGAAAATATTTGTGGAAGGTTAAATGAAAATATACAGTTAATACAATAGAATAGAGCTACATGTTAGAGGTGATAAAAAAAACAGGTTGATTGTATCTCCTTTTACAATGCACACATTTCCCTTGGTTTAAAGGCAGAAGAGGTAAAGTGTATAAGAAAAAGGCAGCCTGTTTTTGTTATCCAAAAGGCCGGTGCTCGACAATTAGGCGATCGCTTTTGCTTCTGGCAAGAAAGCCTCCCAGTACTTGATCAGCTGGAGGGGGAGGGGGAAAAAAAAAAAAAGACAACAGTGTCAGGTTATTTCATAACCGGCAGACAAGAGATGGTTAATATTTGGATCTACAGCTGATAGAAAAATATTCATTTCGATACTGATTTAACTAATTTATCCCACCAAAAATCTCAATTTTCACTCAAATGTGGCAATGTGCTGCTTTTCTGTTTTGTATCACTGTAAATTGAGTATCATATCTGACTGGAGAGAAACTCACCTGCTGCTGAGAATGAAGCACAGACTCCAGGTACTTGATTATCTGTCTTTTGAAATTCTTGGTCTTTTCTTTCTGTAAGAGAATTAAAAAAAAGGAAGATGTTTGTGACATTTTAAACCATCCAGCAACAGAAAAAGAATAATCGTCAGTACCTCAAAGCGGATGACTTCCTTGCGCACGGTGGCTGAAACTCTTTCAAAGTCCCTTTCATACTGTGTCACTTTGGCTTCCCACTGTTAACACAAAGAAAAGGTTTAAATTGCATGGAAGCGACTCTGGGCCAGAATATTAACAAAAATAGGTTTACAGTGATTAAAATGATCATAGTGATGGTCAAGTCAAAGTGGACATTCTAAATAAACATTATGCTGAACAGTAAAATACCTATTACAGTAATTTGACTTGGGTCTAGTTTAAATTAAAAGTCAAAATTTGGCAAATTTGGGATTTTGAATTTGTAGTTTTGAATTATTACCAATGATAATTTTCTTTTGAAAGTGCAGCTTTGGTTGTTTCTCTTTGTGAATATTTGTACAATTGTTTCCTATGTGTTATTTATAATAGAGAAAAAAAATCTAATCAAATGTTATTTCACTGTTACTTGATCTGACTGGACCTCTATAGCATCCATTAGATACAAAGGGAGGAACAATTTTAAGACAATTAACATGAAAAATAATCATCGTTCTTGAGTATAATGCACTGTAATGTGACATTTTTCACTAAAGATCTTAAACAAATGGACAAACTGATTCATTGTTGTATCAAAGAAAAAAAATGTATTTGCATTTATTGTCTAAAGTTTCATCATGTCATTTGTTTCTGATAACTGTAATTGAAGCTGCTCTTTCATTACTCAAACGCTGTCCTCATATTTGAAAAGACCACATCAAACCACAGCACTTTCAAGCGTCCCAGTTATTCCCACTGGGTTCGACTGGGGCCTGTTACCTCAGTGATCTCCTCTTTGGCCAGCTGCAGTTTGTCTGGCTTGTTGGCCCACAGCAGTTTGGCCTCAGTCTCCCTCTTCTTCAGCAGCACGGCCTGCGCGTCTTGCCAACGCTGCCATGCCTTCATCCGGTGATCAAATGACCCCTGCACAAACACACAAACATTTCATGTTTATGCCAGGCTACTTACGTCATCCATGCAGACATGGCCCCCGTTCAAAACATCTTTCAAAATAAATGTCAAGCCTTCATGCTCTGTTAACTGAAGTTCTGCTTTATTTGATTTCTGTAGCATTGTGAGTGAAGTGATGAGTGGAGCTGCACAGGTAACATAGTCAACATTAAAGTACTAAGACAATGTGATACTTCCCTTTACACAGTATTTAAAATGAACCAATTTCCCCATCCATCTTGGCTTAAATTTGTAATTTTACTGGCATTACATCTTGTTTCTGGTCAAGGGATTTCCTCATGGGGACTCAACACAACCAGCTGGACTATATTAAAATAGCAGAGCTAACTACTTAAAATACTGAGCCACAGTTACAGATGCAAAGTCTTGGATTTTTATATTGTAGTTGATGTAGTCAACCAGCACAGTAAGAAAGTACAAATACTCCAAAACTCTACAGAGCCTGTCTGGGGTTTTCATTTCACTTAGTGAGGCTTCAGATTACCTCCTAACCTTTAAAAAGTGAAGGCACTTCTGTTACTATAGTATTCTGGGTGTTTTTTGTAATTAAACACTTTGAGAAATGAGTCTTTCACAATGCAGAATTAATGCTGCTGTCCAGGAATTAGTTCAGTACAAATGTTCTCAGTACCCTCACGGCTCCCAGCAGGCGGATGTAATCTGCGATGAGCTCTGAAAAGCCAAAGGTGTCGTTCTCAGCCTGGTCCTGGTGTAACTGCTCCATCTTGTCCTCCACCTCGGCCAGCTGAGACAGAGCTCGGGACAGAGCGGTGTTGTCCTCGGCACTGCCCAGCATTGCTGCACTCTTGGCAAAGTTCGCTGTGTTCAACGACAGTTCTGTAGGGGAAGAGCCAGAAACATTCATGTCAACTGAAGGATTAACACCGACTACAACTATGAGGAACAGAGTTCAAAGCATGTATTATAACTCTAACAATACACTTTTTAAACTGTTACATTTTCACCACAGTTGGAAGAATGATTAACCTTTCCTGTGGACGACAAGAGACTCGACGAGAGCGTGGAGCTTCCTGAATTGCTGATCTGCAGCCTCCACCTCCTGCAGCTTCTCCTCAAACCACTGCAGTGAAACACAGTTAGTGCAACTCCAACATCAAGACCCCTACATGTTTAAAATCCCACTATTTTGCCACTGAGAATAAATCACAGAAATAAATAGAATTTTGTAAAAATTAGAAATAATGTTAAGTCACAATGGGTCAGTAATTAGATAAACTAGATGAACTTTATTTTATTTACTCTTATTCGAGGTACGTTCAGTCTACGCATGTATGTGGCAAATTATGCTCAGAGCGAGAGGAAATCAGTGTCACAGCTCACTTACCATTTTATGCTCCAACCTTTGACAAATAGGCTCTTTGATCAGTGCGACTGGTTGCCTCACATTGGACAGCGTGACCGGCCCGTGCCTGCCTGTTTGTTGGCATGTGTGCTTACTGTGTTTGTGTGCTGTGTTCTGTTTGCAATCACATCATGAACTCACCACATCTGACTCATTCATCTTGATGGTCATTTTACTGACAGCATCTGTTGCTTTGTTGATCATTTTCATGAAGCCAGCACTGCTCAGAGCCTGGGTGTTCACTGCTCTTGGCAGCTAAAGAGACAAAGAAACAATGCTGCTTTAAAACAGTCAATGCCACACTGAAATACATCCTAAAACATCAGATTATCCAACAGTCAATGCCACACTTAAATACATCCTAAAACATCAGATTATCCAAAGGAATCCAGTAATGGTGAATGGCAAACTGTTCTGTCCTTTGGAAATTTAATGGTCAAACATTTTTAAGTGAGTCTGGCAAAAACTGTTCATCTTCTAAAAAGGCACCAAAAAGCCTGCAAGAGACACACAGGTCAGTTTTCAGCTAACCTCTTCTCTCTCCAGGAACTCTCTGACATCTGGGTCTTGGAGAAGTGATGGGTGATTTACCACCCTCTGGAGATACCTGCCAAACAGAAAGACGGTGTGAGCGAAGCAGCATCATAACACCTTTACTTTTCAGATCTGGTTGACATTTTATCAGATTTGAGGGAGAGGACTAGTTTTCTCTTACCTCTCCAAAGCGCCTCTTCTTCTCTCAACAAAGTCTGCAGATGAGGAGTCTTCCTTCCCCACCTTCACCTTTGTCATACCTGTGCAAGACCGCATCTATTTTCAAACCTAATCGAGATGAGATTTACAGCTCCAGCTTCAGAGAAAATGAGAGAAAAGTATAAAACCGTCAGTCTACCCAGAATGCTCTTCTCTGGTGGCGGAGGCACGATGAAGCCATTTGGTCCGTGTTTTTCAGACAGCTTCTCATAGAGGCCAAGGAAGTCGCTGAAGCGTCGCCTCACTGTAAATGTCTTGTTGCGGAACATGGGCAGTGTGGTCTGAAACAGACAGTGTTCTTCACTTTAAGTCTTGGGTTACTGGATTTTACAGGTTTAGGTTCAGTGAATTACTACTAGAAAACTGACGTAATCCGTTTGCCTTTCAAGAACAGTGCACAGGCATTTCTCCTACAATACGCCGCCCAGTACTTCCTTTTCTTGCACAGTGTTAGTGCAAATGTTATGAGTAAACATAAGTGGACAACTGCACATCAAGTAAACTGGTGTAACGCAGAAAGTTTTTACCTGTGTGGATACTTTGTAAGCCATGTAAGCGTTCATCCCGTCCCCTGAAGAACAAAGACAAAGACAACATTTACTTAAATTGGACCAAAAACAAAAAGGCACAAGTTGATATACAGTCTTATGCAAAAGTTTAGGCACCCCTTGATAAATAACAAATTTTGGTGATTTTTTATTTGAACAGATGTTAACACAGTTTCTCTTGGAAATGGAAAAAATGCACAATATTTTCGCCACTGGCTGGAACACAACCCCCGAGCATGATAGATCCACCCCCATGCTTAATAGTTGGCAAGGTGTTCTTTTCATGAAATGCTGCTCCTTTTTTTCTCCAAACATGCCTTTGCTGATTGTGTCCAAAGAGTTCTATTTTAACTTCATCAGTCCACAGCACTTGTTTCCAAAACGCATCGGGCTTCTGTAGATGTCCTGTTGCATACTTCAGATGTTGGATTTTATGATGGGGACGCAGATAAGGTTTTCTTCTGCTGACTCTTCCATGAAGGCCTTGTCTGTGCAAGCATCGCTGCACAGTGGAACGGTGCACCACCACTCCTGAGTCTGCTAAATCTTCCTGCAGGTTTTTTGCAGTCAAATGGGGGTTTTGATTTGTCTTTCTGACCAGCATACGAGCAGTTCTGTTCGAGAGTTTTCTTGGTCTTCCAGATCTCATCTTGACCTCCACAGTTCCCCTGATCTGCCATCTCTTAATTACATTTCTTACTGTGGAAACTGCAAGCTGACAACGCTTTGCTATCTTCTTGTAGCCTTCTCCTGCATTGTGGGCATCAATAACTTTCATTTTCAGGGTCTTACACAGCTGCTTAGAGGAACCCATGGTTGCTGGGTGTCCACAAGTGTGTGCACAAGGTTTGAAGAGTCAAGGTATTTGTACAGCTTTGAAATTGGCATTTACCAATGACAGCTGTTGCTGTGCATCAGATCTAACGAGCTGATTAAGGTCTGAAACCTTGTGAGAGACTTTGAGACTCTGGAACTCTTAGGGTGCCCAAACTTTTGCACCATGCCATAATAATGTTTTTATTTTTTATTTTTGTTCAATTTATGGCATAAGAAGTAACTATGCATCACTGTTTGCTGAAAATATTGTGTATTTTTTCCATTTCCAAGAGAAACTTTGTTAACATCTGTTCAAATAAAAAATCACCAAAATCTGTTATTTATCAAGGGGTGCCTAAACTTTTGCATAACACTGTACATACATAAAAAGCATTACTTAAGTCAAGCTGCATGTGGATTGGCTTAACTGTAATTTATCACTAGTCTCTTCTTCTTGGTTTCTTCAAATATTAAATCAAGGACTCGAACACCTCAGAATAACCTTTGCTTGTTTAACGTTGATGTTGCTCAAATCAATTTGTTCCTTTGTTACAATGAACTTAGTCACCTCCATATTTATTAAAAATGAATCTCACCTATTTTTTCAGGATCTTTGACAGACACAGCGATGTCGAATTTGTCTTCCTGCTCCTCTTCTTCCAACTGAGGCAGATATTGAACAGAAACAGAAAGATTTCCAGTCACAATTACAGCAGAATTTAGATTTTTGTAAAACTTGGAACAGCTTCTATAAAGAGGCAGAGCATGTTTGTCCTTGTGGGATATTAAATTGGTCAAAAAGTAGCTTATAACTTCCTTATGCTTCCCACTTTATTAAATTACAATATGTCAGGGAACCTGGCAATAAATAAAAGGGTGTGCAGAAATAGAAAGCTCAAAGTGTTGCAGTCAAACTAGAGATTTCACTCTGGGATAGGATATGAATGTACCTCCTCCAAGGTTTCAGATTGTGGCTTGGCCAGGCTGGCAGCGGTCAACAGGGAGGGGTTGGATGCAGATGGTTTGGTCACCTCCTTCTTTCTTTCATTACGTGGGCTGTCGAGCGAAAGCTCCACTGTGGCGTCTGCTAGAGAAGAAAGAAACCAGACTGGAGTCATCACATGCTGAACTGACGTGTAGACAGGTGTTCACTGTTATTATCCTTATTATACAGCAAGTATGTCTTTGTGTTTACATCCTCCTGTCAGCGTTGCAGAAAATGTCCATTACATTTGTCAAAACTGGCAAATTTACAGATTCTGAATGATAACATTTGTATTTACACCTACATTAAAAACAAAACACTGACAAATAAAACACTGTGATATACATCTGGGTACAGTAAAAGCACAGATAGGTGATTTTTATATGTATTTTATTTTGGTTTTGACTTTGATGTTTGAACAGAATGTGACTCTGCTTCTGTTGTTATCCATGATGGACTAGATGGCAATGTCCGATAGAGCTTTGCTCCATGTCATGTCCCCTCTACCATCCCTCGCTATAATCTGAACAGACTAACAATTCTTATTAAAACAAAAAAAAGTCAGTGCAACTTTTCTTTGCCCTGCTACTTTTTGCATGTGTTTTTTTGCTCCTGTTGAACAGCTTTTTTGTGCAAAACATCCAGAGACAACTATCCCCTACAGATGAGAAAGAAACACAAAGGCACAAAATGACTATAAATAGGTGCAAATCAACCAGAAAACAGAGCAGACTGATGGCAAAGAGACACAAAGCACCACAGAATAACAGCAAAGCGATGCAAAACAACCAAAAGACAAAATATGGCTTGGGGGCCCTGGGGCCCTTTGGCTCATAATCCATCCATCTATGAATGTAACTGGTCTCATATGTCCAGATGAACTGAAACACCCAAATGTCTGAATTTACTGCTCCAAATACATCCTGTGTGAGCACTCCCTTTGTTACGCATGTTCTCAGTATAACACTAAATCCTAAAGGCCTGATCATATAACCAAAGAATAAAAATCGAGGACTTACCAGCAAATATGTCAGGGTCCTCTTCCGAGAGGGCTCCGTTGGTCTTGGGGTTGACAGTGCTGGCGTTTCTGATGCTGGGTGCTGTAGTGATGGCTTCCTCGGTGAAGATATCAGCAGGTTCTGCAGAACTGCTGTTTTGTAGAGGCCCACCTGTGTTTATACCATCATTAGGAGCAGCTTTGGATGACACAGATTTGTCCTTCGGCTCTTTATTGATGGTCTTCTTCGAGGAGGCACCCAGCGGCTCACCAAACAGATCCTCATCAGGTTCACTGAAGAGGCTTTTCTGTGGCTGCTTGGCTGATTTTGTCTGCCGTGGTTCTGTAAACCAGTCACTTCCATCATCCTCGAATAGATCGACTGTTGCCCTGCTTGGTATTTTGGCATCAGCAGCGGGTGGTGCAGCAGGTGGAGCATCACTAAGGAGGTCAACCAAAGGGTCACCAATTCTATCAGCTCCAAGCGGCTGGTGTCTGTTGCTGGCTGACAAACCACTGCTGAAGTCAATAACTTGAGCAGTGGAGTTTTTTTTTGCTTCCTGTTTCCCAATACCAGGTGGATGTGCAACACTGGACACCTCACTTTCCTGTGCTGTCTTAACAGTAACATCTGCCACCAGTACTTCCTCTTGCAGTTCCTTGGTTTCACTTCCCAGTAAGTCGACAAAATCATCTGAGGGATCATCTAAAACTCCAGCTGTGTCTTTTGCTGCAGCTTTAACGATGCTTCCAGCTGCAACTGTGTCAGCAGCAGCTTCAGTTACGCTGTCTGTCAGGTTGACGAACTCATCCGAGGATTCACGGACAATTTCACTCACTGGTTTATTTTCTCTTTGGCTGCTGATGGGTTCGATTAAAGGACCGCTCATGATGTCAGTGGGAGGCTTCACTGAAACATCACTGGGTGGCAGCGTGGTGTCCGTTTTAGTCACTGGAGGGTTGTTCTGGAAAACAGGGGAAAAGGGAAAAAGAATTTATTAACATTATTTAGTTCACCCTGGCTAAAGAAACAATGTCTCTCAGTCTGATCACAGGTTTTGGGTGTACTTGCTAATTATCACAATGAGTAACATTAAGTAAACAAATTCTTAACACAGTACATCAGTAAAAACAAGGTTTAAACAAATCACCACTTGTGTAATTAAAGGCCAGAGTGAATAATAATGAGCTGATTAACATGTGGAAGGTTACTCTGAAGCCACTAATGGATGCTACCTGGTGCATTTCCAAACATGACTTCAGCTGCAGGCTCTGTTAAACGTAACAGTCACGCTTGCTAAGTAATGTTTTCCATGCAGCAGTTGAGCCCAGCCCTCTTAAAAAAAAAAAATCAAAGACAGCAACTTTCCAATCTGTTCACTGGACTGACCTTTGTGTAAATACATCCGGGTTCTAACCATGTGACCACAGCTGACTCACATGACAGCAGACTGCCTGAGCCAGCGTTCCTCAGTCAAAGAGTCTGAATTTTAACCCACTGATAAACATGAGCACCTTCAGTTTTCACAGTCAAACCACACAGACATTATTCCCTGCACACTGATATAATCTGACTGCTGCTTACTCTACCTACACCTGGCCAAAACGTATGCACACTCAAATGCTCCTGAAAAGGACACCTTTAGATTTTTGTGCAAGTTAATATAATGGAGGGAAAGGTTTAGAAATCTCAGAGATACCTTGTACAAACATAGTCCACATATAATTAACTGTATAGAAACTATATTAGAAAGTAGAGCTGTAACCATAATGCTGATGACTATTTTTATTACGGGGTCAATAAAGCATCAGAAAATGATCACAAACCCCATCACAACATCCTGGAGCCCAAAGTGGCATCTCATCAGATGTCTCATGTTATCAAACAAACAATCCAAACTCCCAGAACATTCAATTTACTGCAGTGTAAAACCAAGATGAGCAACAAATCCTCAGCTGAAAACGTTTTGCATTTTTTTCTTTGAAAAATACTTTCCTTAAATACTTGATTACAATCACAGCTGCCAATTAACTGTCTGTCCATCGACTAATTAATGAATCACCTCACTGTAGATTAGTGTGGACTAATGATCAATTAATCACTTAGCTATCAAAAATACCTGCCACAGCTTCAGAGCTGAACATCAAATCTTCAAATATCTTAGCATTGTTTAATCAGAAGACTACATACCCAAATATTAACTGTTCACAATGACATATGACAAAGAAAGGCAGGAAATCTTCTCATTTGAGAGTCTGAAATCAGAGAGTATTTGGCATCATTTTAATATTTTTTGCTTGAAACTTTGATAGAACTTAATCATTAACTCTTAATCATTCAATTAATCTATTATTTTGTCTGGACAAAAGACCAGAAAGATGTTAAAAATAGCAGCTTCTAACATCTTGTTTTGCTGACCAACAGACCAAATCCAAAAGAAAGTCACTTTACTATCATGTGTGACAATGAAAAGCATCAGATCCTCAAATATGAGAAACCAGAAACACCTTGGCTGCAGATTAATGTTCTGTCCTGGCCAAATCAATTAGTCACCCAAATAACTACTGCTTTAAAATGCACGAAACAATTAATCAACAGTGATCAACAATTATATCGATCCCTGATTGACCTGAACAGCCACACGGGACTTCACGTTGCAACTTTTGGTAAGAAATAAATACCAACACGGGCTTTTAAAGCTGTGCCAACGATCACGACAAGATATTTAAAACGAGAAATACGTCGGATTCTCAGCACAAAAATCTCCGTACAGCTTCAGGTGCAGGAAATACCATGTGTAGTATTATCTGACATGACAGTTGCTTATGCCAACATGATTTTCTTAGTGGTTTGTATGCAGTTAAACCAGTTAAATGGTAGTCACCAGCTCCAGAAACTAAAGCCAAACTTGCTGAAAGTGTCTCATTAGCTTCCCTCGGTGTAGTTAGCTAACCAGTATCTTCCTTAGGTTACGTGCCAGTTAGCCAAATCAGAGGCTAGTTAGCTAGCCGTGTAATTCAGGTCAGCTCCACTGATACATACTGCGCTCATGAAGAAGTCGTCTCCGTCGTCTTCATCACTGTCTCGGCCTTCGACTTCTTCAGGGTCAAGCAGATCTTGGTCCTCGGAGTCCGGGAACGGAGGAGGACTGCGCTCCGAGTCGGTCGCCATCTTCAACCCTTTTTTCTTTTTTTTAAAAAAAACACAAGAGAAGGTAACGTCAACTGCTCGCCACAGACAGACCTATCTCGTTTAGTTAGCTGCTAACGCTGCTCGTGGGAGGCTAAAGCGCTGCTGCGACACACTGTGCTAGTCGTTCACCTCTGGACTCTGAAAGTAAACCAAGCTGCTGCTACTTGGACGCCTGGGGCGTGCAAACCGCCGCTGTCTCTTTACTTCCTGATCCTCCTTATTCTCGTCAGGTTAGCTTCAGGCAGTGCTAGCTAGCCAGGCAGTTATGGGTCAGATGCAGTAAACACGGAACAGGACTTGAAGTTAGCTCATATTGGAGACCTCCGACTTTTAGGGGATGTCTCGACTCACGCACAACGGAGATGAGGAGGCGCGACGGCCGCTTCTTCTCAGCCGAGGTCACCTGGAGCCAAACGCGCTGGTCTCGGATGATGACGGTAAAAGTAGTGTCACGACTTGTCTTCACTTTTAACTGCAGAGCATTGGGAACGGTGTTCAGATAATTTACTAAAGTAGAAACACTACTACATCACTGTAAACACACTCAAGAAAAACTCCTACATTTTAAAGTCAAAGTAACTAAAGCAAAAATAAAATTAATAATAATGCCTCCACTAAGTTGTATTTTTGATAACTTTAGTTACTTTTCAGGATCTGATTAATTTAAAAAAAGTATACAGTATATAATCATAAGACTTTATAGATCCCTAGTGGGAAATTCAAATTCTAAGGTTAGAAGGTAGAATTAGCTCCATCTGCACCTGGTGCAATATTAAAGTGAACTACACAATAATGCAGCAATAATTCTAACCCACTAATGTGATATTTATTAATGTGAAATATGCCATTCTACATAATGAGTGCTTTGAGTGTTAGTACTTTTGTACTTAATTTGTGGCTTAATATGCAAACAGCAAAGTAAAAAAAAATCTCCAGAGGAACTGTAACATCTTAAATATCTTTTGCATCTTGAGCTTCAGGTTCACTTAATGTATTTGCTTGCGTTTCTGCTTTGTAGGTGAAATTATTTTTGACAGGAGCACATCAAACATGAAATGTGAAGCCGGGGAGAGTGCTCAGACAAGATTATCATATGAGGAGGCAGTAGAGAAAGCAGGTAATTTACAGTTGGATGGTTTTATAATTACTTCTGACTTTGGCCTGTAAAACTCAAAATGGTTTGTTTAGCTGAAAAATGCATCATCCACATGATATTTGTGTGTGTGTGTGTGTGTGTGTGTGTGTGTTTTTTTTAATAAAACAGAAGAACAATGTTTTGGCCCAGCACTGGCAGTGAACACACAAAGATAAATAGCAAGAGTTCAACTCACTTTCTGCCACGTTAGACTTGTCCGCATTCAATAGCAGATAACGTCTGTCTTTGTTTATTCAGGTTTTGGTTTGTTCCATTGGCTGCTGTTGGTGGTGTGTGGTTGGGCCAATGCCAGCGATGCTGTGGAGATCCTCTGTGTGTCCTTCCTCTTGCCAACGGCTCGCTGCGATCTGCTGCTGAGCTCCTCAGACAAGGGCTTGCTGACTGCCAGCATTTTCCTTGGTGAATCACAGTCATTTATTAATTATTTGTGTTACATGTTGAAAGTGCACATTTCAGATGGCTCACCAGATAACTAGCCAGACCTCTGCTTCCTTTTTATACTGCATCCAATTCCCCCCTGTGTTGGCATTCTCTCCAACTTCTAATATGTCCTCATGTTAGCTTGCTGATGCTAACACCAGGAAGCCTGTTGCATGTATCTAACATTTTTGTTAAGCCTGTCCTCCTATGCTAGTTTACTTCAGCTTAGCAGGCATCATCCACACATGAATGTAATCAAGTCACAAAGTTTTGGTACAAGACCAAACCTATTTCAGAAAGTTTGATTAGTACACATAAAATAACTTTTATTCCAGGAAATAAACTATTAAAAACCCTTGAATTTAACACAAGGTTGCAGCCAGGAAAGAAACGATGTACTGACTTTACTCAGTCATCTTCTTAATCCCGCTTTTCTAGGCATGATGGTGGGTGGCTACATGTGGGGATACTTGGCTGACCAGAGAGGGCGCCGCGAGGTCTTGGTCTTATCGCTAGCAGTCAATGGGGTGTTTGGAGGTCTGGCCAGTACAGCTCCGTGGTTCTGGCTTTTCCTGTTACTGCGGTTCATCAGTGGCATCGGGTGAGGATATGATTTGTTTTCTATCATACATGACAAAGAAAAGTCACAAATCCTCACAGTGAAAAAGCTGAAACCAGAGCATGTGTGGCATTTTTGCTTGAAAAGAAAAAAACAGTTTGAAAGGATTAACAGATTATGAAAATATTTGCCGATCCATTTTTTCCTGTGATTTAAGGGTGAATGCAAAACACAACAAGTCAAACAAATAAGTAAATTAGCAGCTTATCCCGCACCCCTTTTTGTAGTGTTGGCGGGTCGATCCCTGTCATCTTCTCGTACTTCTCAGAGTTTATGCCCCGCCTGAGGAGAGGGGCAATGATCAGCGCTCTGGCCACCTTCTGGATGGCAGGAAACATCCTGGCTGCAGGTGGGAACAAACATAAATTCCTAAAAACGCTGCAAGTGTATTGTCAGCTCACATGCTAATGTGTTGTGTTTATTATTTAGCACATTATATTTTTGAGGCAAACAGAAAGCATATCCAGGGTATCCGGTCTTGAAATGAAATGTTGGACAAGGGTCATTTACATCTGTACTACTGTTATGCAAGCCAAGCAGCACATTTTCTCATAGATGGTTTTGTTTTATTTATCTTTTTTTTTTAAATCATTTTGATACACCAGTCTAACACAGAGATTTGCATGAATAAACTTTGGGGATGACAGCATTAATTTCCTTGGAAGGTACTTTCAAAATAAGAGAAAGTACAGAATTCTGAAATAGAAAATGTGTTTATTAATAACTGTGTGTGTTTTTCTCTGCAGGTCTGGCCTGGCTGGTGATTCCAAGCACCTGGGCACATTTTTCTTTGGGAATGCTGGACTTCCAAAGCTGGAGACTGTTTGTGGTGCTCTGCTCTGTTCCCAGCCTCACCTCAGCCCTACTCTTCAAGCTGCTCATGCCTGAAAGCCCCAAGTTCCTCATGGAGGTATTCAGATGCCAGAGTAGTGCTAGACTTTACCAAGTGCTTTCTCTTCTTATCTGTTTTTACCGTCTTTGCCAGGTTGGTCGAGAGAAAGAGGCAGTGTGTGTGTT